ATCCAATTAATAATTGGATTCCAATCCATAACCATATGAACAAAATTAGGGTAAAAAGACCATTTTACTCCTTTCCTGGTGTGGTCCAAGGCTAAGGCCCAAACCTACCATCCAAAAGGCCCAAATACAAAAATAATCCTCTAAGACCCAATCATGGCCCAATTTTCCAAATTTGGCCCAAATCTCTTTCACGAGCCTTTTCCAAGGGAATCCAAAACAGGCATCAGCCGTAAAACTTGATGGCTCAATAAGGCCCTAAGCATCTAAGTCCAAATATGGCTCAAACCAAAGCCCAAAAAGTCTGAAGCCCAACTGGCTGAGTACGCGGGGCGTACTCAGCACATACACACAACATACTTGCTTTAGGGCTTGTACGCTAAGCGTACCTGCTTGTGCGCCCAACGTACTCCCCCATTTGGCCATTTTTCATTTCCGGCTCTTAACCCATTAAGACATCACTCCAAAACTTAGATTTGACTTCCTTGAGATGGTTTATCAAGTAAAGTTTCTAACTTTACGTGCATGTATGGCTTAATGTATCTCTTCAAGCTCAAAAGGACTTAATAGATGACTTAATGCATGCATGAGACCATAAACCCCATAAAGCTTGCACCTTTAAGCTCAATAAACTCATAAAGTGCCTAGATCTAAAAGAATAAGCCCCTCAAACGATTTAACTAATCAAACTAACCCAAAAAGGGACCAAAAGCAAAAAAACCATGACATGAAGAGATCTAAGCATACAAGGATAAAGATTAGGACTTTATACCTCAAAAGTCAACGAAAGATTGAGCTAAATCTGGATCTCTAGGTTTCCTTCTAAAGAATGAGTCCACCAACTTCTTCTTCTTTCACTTCAAGGAGCATAAACCACCAAAATCAAGATCAAGGCTCAAGAACACTTAAAGAGGCTATTAGGATTCGAGATTAGGGTTTTAAGGCAATGGAGGCTTGTAAAGAGGCCAGCCCTGGGGAATTAAGGACCTTATATAGGGTGCGGCACCCTAAAATTAGGATTTTATTATCCTCCATGTATGCCATGCATAACCCTCGTACACCCAACGTACGAGGCTTTTATTCCACGATCAGGTTCCCTCCTCAGTACGCTAAGCATACCATGTGGTACGGCCCGCGTACTAGCTTCTCAGATACTACGTTAAGCGTACCCAATGGTACGCCCCACGTACTAACTCCAAGGACTAAATTGCAATAAATTGAATATAAAGGGCAAAAGGAAACATACCCAAATCGAGTGTTACACATAAATTGCATATCAAGTTTTTGGTGCCGTTTCCGTGGAATGGCTATTTCAGTTTGTTAATTTAATTGCTTTAAGTTAATTGATCCTTTATGTTGGTTAAAAACCACAAAAAAGTTAATTTTCTGCAAGGTTTTTATTTTTCAGTTTGTTCAGTTCTCACGACATGAGGGACACCTCTCATGATGTGAGTTCAGTGTTTTTTAGTTTTTCGTTTATTTTTTTTTCTAATTCATCTTTAAGCGTTTTGTTTTTGTCTTATTTCAGTGATTTATGACCCGAGGATCCAGAACTCCAATAATTCCACCACTTAAAAATCCAGAATCAGCTTTCCACAAAAAAGAAGGACAAGAAGGCCGACAAGTCAAGTAGCACTTTCCAATTCGAAAAATTCGAACTTTTTGAAAAGACTCCAAGCAAGAAGGAAGTAAGATACAAGCCATAAACATCTACTGAAGAAAGTTCAGGAGACAAGATAAAAAGCAAGGTTATATCATGACCACGACGATGGGGGAGTACAAGGAAAGGTTGCGTAATGACAATGGTCTAGGTCTTGTGTCGCCCAAGATTCCAGTTGAAAGGGGTTTTGAGCTCAAGGGGCACATTCTATCAATGCACAGGGACATACCTTTTTCCAGGAAAGATTACGCAGATGATTTCAAGCACATCAATTAAGTTTTGGACATTGATAATTATTTCAATATCTCAAATGTTTCAAGAGATGCAGTATTACTGAGAATACTTCCTGTGACATTTAATGGAGATGCAAAGATATGGTTGAATTCTTTATCTCCTGGAACAATATGGACTTGGGACAACCTTCGTGAAGCATTTATTAAACAATTTAGCCCACCTTCAAAGATCTCAAAGCTGAAGAAGAAGATAGCAAACTTCCAACAAGAAGTCGGAGAGTCAATATACGAAGCTTGGGAGAGGTACAAGGGCCTTCTAAGAAATTGTCCTCAACATGACTTGAACGTGCAACAAGAAGTCTCTATTTTCTATGATGGGCTGAATGTTACAACAAGGAAGCTCCTTGGTTCTCAAGGACCAATGAAAAAAAAGAATTAGCCACCATTAAAGAGTTAATTGAAGAATTTACAAAGCACTCGAGAGAATATCATAGTCCATGAGAAGATGCTATAAGCGGAAATGACAATGGAGGGAACGAGCACATGACGACGGTATTGGAAAAATTAGAAAACATGGATCAAAGAATGATGAAATTGGATCAATCTATACATACTATAAGAGTTGCTTGTGAAAATTGTAATGGGACTCACTTAACTAAAGATTATGATTTGGATTAATACGGAAATAAAAAAGCGCAAGTGTTTTATTCAGATGATGACAATTATGATGAAGACGGGAAGCCAAAGAAAGAAAGGTTGCCTTATGAAGAATACAAGAAACAAAAAGAAGAAAAATATAGGCAAATTGGACGAGACTACTATCAAAAAGATCAACCACCACCTGAGAAGAAGATGGATTTTGAGTCAATGCTTATTAGGTTTATGGAAGCCTCTGAAAAAAGACATGATGCTACTGATGCTACCATGAGAAATCATCAATCTTTCATAAAAAATATTGAGGCTTTACTCGGGCAATTGAATACATTTGTTAACAAAAGGTTACCACCAAAGAATCCCAATCAAAGACCGCAACCGCATGTCATGGCCATATCTACCGAAAAAGACCATCATGCAGAGCCTATAATGATCCATGATGAAGCCTGGAAGCATCCCGATCCATATCCATACAGAATGAAGTTCGAAGAAAAAGATATGGTTGATGCCCAGTTCTTACGACTTGAGGATCAAGTGTTCATGTCGTGGGCTTTGTCTTGACAGAAAAATTCATCTATTGTTAAACCGTATTAGCCTCCGTTACCTTTTCCTTCTCGAGCAAGGGCACACCCAATGGAGCAAGAGCACAAGATATTCATCAAGCAAGTCAAGGGTATTCCAATTAATACCCCATTTATTGAATCGTTAGCAAAAATGTCTGAATACACGGAATTCCTTCAAGCTTATTTGTTTTTCCGATTGATTTTGTCGTCAAAGAGATGAAACAGGATGAAGATGTACCCATTATTTTGGGAAGATCATTAATTAACACCATGAGAGCCTTGGTGGATGTTCGTGAATCAAATCTTATTTTGCGAGTTGGAAAAGAGGATATGACATTCGGAGTTGAATAAGGATTCGAAAAGTCTAAGAATCAAAATGAAGTGTTCTTTGTGGATGAATAAAATGAACTTGAAGAATTAAAGAAATTAATGAAAGAAGAGGTCCAAACAAGAGAAAAGCCTAAAGTAGAAGTCAAGTCCACCAAGCCACAAACCTCAATTCCAATGATCTTTGAAGTCCTTGCCTTCACTACACCCAAGGCTCAAGTGGAAGAAGCAAATGATGAAGATGTGGGTGAAGAATTAGAGGAGTCAATAATTGTCAAAATGGAGTTAGACAGGGAAGATCATAAAGAAGATGAGAAGAATACAAAAATGAAAGGACAAAGCAAGGGGTGAAACGAAAGCACGAAGAAAACACTGATCCAAAAAAGAAGGAAAACTCGAAGAAAGCATATATATATATATATATATATATATATATATATATATATATATATATATATATATATATATATATATATATATATATATTGGTTTGAAATTTAATTGAAAAAAAAATAATTTCATCCGACTATTTTTTTTGAAGCTGTAGTCCAAAAATATTTCTTAATTTCATATAATTCTTCCATTCAACCATCTTTCATATCATCATCTACATTTTATTCAACTTCGATTATTCAAATCCTATTAAATCCTCGTTGTGGATCCTCTAACAAACCTCATAGTTTATCCATCAAGATTCGGGACTTTGAATACATCACAATCTTTTATATATGGTGGTAAATGCTTGTCAAGAATCCTACCTTCCGGTCCTTTTTCGAATAATGGATCATGTGATTGTTGTTAAAAACTTGAAGGATAGAGATAAATGACGTAATCAAAACGTTTATGATATTACAAAATAAAATACAACCAATGTTTTAAAAACCGGTTTGAACCGGCCGGTCGAACCGGTTGGACCGGGAACCGGGAGAGGGAGCGGTTCAACTATCACCGGTTTTACATTGATTTCTTAACTGGATTGAACCGGCCGGTTTTTAGAAAAAACCGGTTGAACCGGTCAAAATAAACCGGTTGAACCGGTTAAACTGAATAAAAACACATGAAAAAATAATCATTTACATAATAAACTTTGGTGATTTTTTTTAAAATCTATTTAGTTTTCTCTAAATAAAAAATACGGTAAATGTTATAAATTCTTTTGATGTGTTTGTATTCATCAAAAACTATATTTCGTTTCGGTATTATACTTTATTTTCTTTTTGACGTATATGGATTGATGTAAAACACTAAAACTTATGGTTATGTGTTATTTTAATGTATTTGGATTCATCTACAACTTATTTTTATGTGTATTTTTAATGTTTGAAATAGAAAAAAAAAACATGAAAAATATATATGTATGTGTAGGAAATAGAAAAAAAAAACATGAAAAATATAGAAACCGGTTCACCCGGCGGTTGAACGGTTAAACCGGTTGAACCGAGAACCGGTCACAATACCGGTTCAATTAAAAAACCGGTTTTTAAAACATTGAAAACAACATTATAATGATTATTAGCATTTTAAATGCAAAAATTTACATCGTCGATCGTCATAACTCTTGTTATTTTATATGGTTGCCAATTCACGAGAAGTGAAAAAGTTCTTCGAGATTTCGTAAATCAATCTCCTCTGAAATTCTTCAGTCGAATAGCCACCTGAAATCAGAAGAGTCTTCGGAGCTTTCTTAGAGTCAAAAACGTTGTCACTTCCACCTAATCGGAGCATCATCTTAACATAAGCGTTCTTAAACTTGATCCAAAGTCTGATTGGTGAAGCTTTCTTCCATCGCAACTTTGGAATGGCTTTAATTTTCCAAAACCGGCGGTTTCCTCCTCCGAAGGTGACGCTGTTTGTGTTTCTTCTGTAACCGCCATCAAACCGCTGGTATCTCCTCCGCTTCCATGCTCTGTTCAAGGTGCCATCAAGAGCACTTGAAATTATTTCCATTCTTCGTATAATTGTTTTCCTTTTGTAAGAGTATTATGCGAGTGTGTGATATAAGAGAAATGATTTTGACTATACATAGCGTGTTTGCGTATGTGTATGCATATATAGGGTGAGAATTTAAATGTAAATGTGTTTAAATGACATTTAAATATTGAATTTAAAATTTATATTCAATTCACGTTCGTCTTTCTTGACCAAATTTATTCTTCTGTCAACCGAGTCGATCCAAAAAAAATAACATGAAAAATCTTCATTGATACTACAACTTTTGTAATGGAAAACTCAGTTTTGCTTTTTAGCATATGAACAAAATCATTATTTCAAGTTTTCAACCACTCCATGAATGTTTGTATTATTTTTGAAACCGTTAGAGCCAGTAACAAAGCATTTTTTATTTGTCTTATCTAAATTATTAATTATGTTTTGCAAGTCCTAAATTATTGTAGTTATAAAAACTAAAAGTGTCTCGTATAGAGTTTTGCAAGTGTCCATCCAATGTATGGATATTTGGAATATTTTGAGAACAATAAGTTAAGAATTGCTTCTCTAGAGGGTTAAGCATGTATACTCCGGTTGTCTTTTGTATAAAACAACGAGACATGGGTTTTGAGATTTATAAAGTGAACAACAAAAATCGAACTGAATAACGAAAATAGATGCATCAAATGGAATAAAACCAGCCAAACAAAGAACAAAAGACTGTATTGTTGGGTACAAAATTTTTGTTGTGCCACTACCAATTGATTTGAAGTCTGAAGATCTTAGCTGAAGTCGAGTTTTCTGTTCTGCATGAAGTAGTTAGTAGAGCAAATTCGGATTGTCTTATAGGGCGACTTATTTTAGTTTTCCTCACTATATGTGTTCATTATTGTGAGCATGAAGCAAGCAGTCCAAGCCGACTTGAAAATTAGATACATGTTTTCTAGGCAACTTGCTATTATTTACAACTAATTATAAGACAATGGCAATGAGAAAAAAAAAAAAAAAAAAAACAAGTAAAGGAAACGGAAAAACACTAAGTTGTTAAGTTATGATGTCAAAATGTTTTCCAACAATAAGAATAAAGATTTCTAAATAGTTTTGCTGGCTTCATGATAAAGGATTTCAGAGCGGGTGATATAAGGATTCAACTTATATATTGAAAATCAGAAAGAAAACACAAATTATTTTTTATCAGAAACTAACGCCAAGAAAGAAAGTGAATAACAATAATAAAATCATATAATTAACACGAATTGCATTAACACAAATCAGAAATCAAATTAACAGGTATCATAAACCGGAATCGATGAGGCTGCCTGAATGCTCTGTTAGGATCGAGACACTTAACATACCACTCTAAACACAAGAACAACAAAGATTTAAGGTGGTTCGGTCTATTTCTGACCTACGTCCACACGAGGGTAACTAGGAGTGTATATATTTTTTCTGTGAAGTTTGTGATGGATTACATCCTTACAAATACAGAGCAATCTCATTTATAGAGATTGAAATTGAGAAAGTATATTAAAAAAGAAAAAAACATCCGGGTCTTCATCCACTACCTCAAAACATGGATGTCCCCTTTTTCTTTCTCCATGTTTTCTGGCTTTCCTTGTTTCCTGCCACTTCTTTTGACTAGCCCAATGGCTTCACACTCAACAATCTCCCACTTGAAGCCACGAAACAATCTTCACCATAGCTTCAACTGTGTATCTGTATTTCTGTAAAAAACTTTTGATCTTGACTCCTTCCTAGTTACCCTGGCCTTCTCTTCAATTGACCTGAAGGCTAGTTGAAGCTTCCGTTAGCTCCAACACATCAGTCATGGCTAAGTCTGCCACTAACCTGTTCTCTGTCTCCACCGGCTCCCACTGAAATGAACTGCCCGATCCTGGAACATCCTGAGAACAAACGACACTCTCCATGTGAAACAGATAATCTGGAGAGACTTTTTACAGATGGAATACTGGTTCTCTTAACCCCACTGTGTTCTGGGTATTCTAGTTGAAACAAAGCCCATGCTCCCACTGCTATGAATGCCCTTGACTGGTTTTTCTGAACCGTTCCAAACACGTTCAACCTGAATCTGACCTGTGACTCTGGGTTTGCCATCTGCAGAGCAAACCTTCTTCTGTCCACGAGACTCTATGAACCGGATTTTGTTTTTCTTCTGAACTGGGACGGTTACTCCCTCAGATGGTAATCTGACCATATATAATGAACCTCTCTTATGTCCACGAGCTATCACAAGATTTCCTTTGACAACCTTCCACTGCCCATTCCTGAACTTAACCTCGTGCCCCTGTTCATCCAACTACCCAACAGAAATCAGCTGTTTCTTCAGACTTGAATTACCCGGACATCCTTCAAAGTCCATGGACCAACTGGAGTCTTTAAATCTAAGTCACCTATGCTCGTCACATCAAGAACCTCATCGTTCGCCAGTCTTACCTTACCAAAATCTCTTTCTTTCAGATTCTGGAGTGCTTCACGGCTGTGGGTAGCGTGAAATGAAGCACCCGAATCCATAACCTAGGAATCCACATTGCTCTCCACACTACAGATCAAAACATCATCATCTGAATGGTCTACTGCAGCGTTAACTTCTTTCTTGTCTTTTGGACATTGATTCCTGAAATGTCCAAGCTCTTTACAGTTCCAACAAGTCACATCATTTCGAGTCCTCGACTGACTCCTTCTCATGTTCCCGCTCCCACTACCTCTGTTATTTCTTCTACCTCTGACCGCATTCAATTGTTCACTTGATGATTCCCCGGAATTTCTTCGTCTGACGTCTTCGCCTAGAATTAAATCCCGAATTCCTTCAAAAGTGAGCCCTTTCGATCCCGTGGAACTAGTAACGGCTGTAACTGTTCCAGACCAACTGTCAGGTAATGATGATAACAATAGTAAAGCTTGAACTTCATCCTCGAACTTTATTCCCACTGACCCAAGTCTAGATAAAATCGAGTTTAAATTGTTGATGTGCACTGTAACTGAACTTCCTTCCCTCATCCTCGTGCAGAAAGACTTGGACGCAGTTTTAAGTGAAACACTTGTTAGGATCGAGACACTTAAAACTGCGTCCAAGTCTTTCTGCACGAGCAAATCTTCAATTTGCATCTTCCACCAACCAAAATCTTTCCCATCAAACTTCTCAATCTGAAGCTTACTGCTTTCTGCCATTTTCTGAAAGAATAATGACCTATCTTGCAATTTTCTGGAAATTCAGGGGCCAAATTGCAAATTTTCAAATCTGCTACAGTGTTGCTACAGTTTCTGCTGACGTCACCGCTGACGTCGTGCTACAGTGTCTGCTGACGTCACCGCTGACGTCGTGCTACAGTTCCTACTACAGTGTCGTCTTCTCCGGCGGAACTTCGGTGCTACAGTGTCGTCTTCTCCGGCGAGTTCAGGTGCTACAGTGTCGTCTTCTCCGGCGAACTGGTTTTTTTCGATAACTATTCCGGCAAACCTTTGACCGGCGATTTGGACGTCTTCCGGTGGTCAAAAAATTCAGAAAAAAATATTTTCGGAATCTTCGGAACGAGACCTTTCCAACGGTATATACCAAAATCGTTTTTGACGAAAAAAAAATTTCGACCAAAAAACTGAAAATCACCTTCTGGAGCTAAAACCTTGCTCTGATACCACTTGTTAGGATCGAGACACTTAACACACCACTCTAAACACAAGAACAACAAAGATTTAAGGTGGTTCGGTCTATTTCTGACCTACGTCCACACGAGGGTAACTAGGAGTGTATATATTTTTTCTGTGAAGTTTGTGATGGATTACATCCTTACAAATACATAGCAATCTCATTTATAGAGATTGAAATTGAGAAAGTATATTAAAAAAGAAAAAAACATCCGGGTCTTCATCCACTACCTCAAAACATGGATGTCCCCTTTTTCTTTCTCCATGTTTTGTGGCTTTCCTTGTTTCCTGCCACTTCTTTTGACTAGCCCAATGGCTTCACACTCAACATGCTCCACCTTATGTTAGAATGTTCCACCATAATTCCAAATGCTCAAGTCAACATTTAATACATAACGATAAAGATATTAGCCTTTATTCATGTCACAATTAGAAATGACGATTATATCTCATGAATCTTACTCTATTCTTCAATATCTAAAAGTATCATGTTTAGGGAGGAAAATTTGTCTCTAGAAATTGAAAAATTCGTTCCAGATCTATTTTCAAAGTTGTTGATATAAAGTCATATTCTTTCCAGATTTGGTCTTGAGTTAGACATGACTTAAAATGAATTGAAAGAAGTAAAAAAAAGTCTAAACATTAAAAACTAAATGAATGGATCGAATCACAGTCTTCAGATATTTGAAAATCATTGAAAAAACATTACATACCGCCAAAAATATTTGCTGCACTAGCTAGCGTTTCGTCTTGGGATTAGCCAGGTATTTTGATATCTTTGATTCGTGCTTGAATTATCGGTGGATCCTCAGTTCGATGGCTTAGGAACATTTGTTAAGAAGTGAAGCTCTTAGGTTATTTATGGTGGCTCTGCTACGTTTCATGTTGTTTTGCTATTGTCTGGTCGGCAATGGGATCTGATTGCCATGATCTCTTGCTTGTTTCCTTTATTTCAATTGGCATCCTTTTGGTTTCTAGTTTCTTGTCTGTTGTTCTTTAGCTTTATGTCTTTCTCTAAGATTTATGGTGATGTTGGCTAGTTTTCCTTGTTGGATCAGTTCTTCTAGTTCTTACAGTGTTCTAAAAGCCGCGGCATGGCGCATGCCAAGCCGTGCCATGGCATCGCTGTTACGAAAAGCCTCATAACGTTGTTGTTAGGCGTGACGCGTGGCAATGCGTGATATGGCGTGCCATGACGTGTTATGGCACGTGTTTTTTCGTTTGAGACACGTTTTTTTTGCTCTTTGTTATGTCTTTTCTAATCTGGGATACAAGTATTGTGCTTTTTTGTTAACTTTTTGTTATTAGTTATTGATATAACACTTCTAAAAAGTAGTTATATTTTATATAAATTTATA